CTGGGCAGCGAGACTTCATCTGAACAATAAATCAAAAAATCAGCCGGGCGTGGTAGCGCACGCCTGTAATTCCAGCTACTCGGAAGGCTGAGGCGGAAGGATCGCCGGATCCCAGCAGGCAAGGCTGCAGTGGCCGGGAGCGGCCACTGCACTCCAGTCTGGGCGACCGAGTGAGACTCCAACTCAAAAAAAAAAAAAAGAAACTGAGGGTGATTCCCAGGTGTTTGGCAAGAAGTGCTGGATGGGTGGAGTTGCCACACACAGCGGGGAAACCCAGGGTTGGGAAACCAAGGGTTCAGTGGTGGAAGTATTCAGTCTGAGATGTCTGCTATACTGGAGACCACTGGACGTGAGTTCAAAGTCCTGGGGAGTATTCAGGTCTGGAGACATAAACTTGGGAGACATCAGCATAGAGATGGTGTTTAATGCATGAGACTGAAATTTTCAGAGTCTAAGTCCTGGCAGGAAAGACTGTGCTCCCAAATGGAGTAATTAATGAGAATAGTGTTTCTTGTAAAGAGACAGTCTAGGCCAGGAGCCGTGGCTCGCACCTGTCATCTTGGTACTTTGGGAGGCTGAGGCAGAAGGATCACTTGAGCCCAGGAGTCTGAGACCAGCCTGGGCGGCATAGCAAGACCCTCATCTCTACCAAAAAGGAAAGAAAAGCCAGGCACGGTGGTGTATGCCTGTAGTCCCAGCAACTTGGGAGGCTGAGGTAGAAGGATTGCCTGATCCCAGGAGCTCCAGGCTGCGTTGAGCTGTGATTGTGCCACTGCACTACAGCCTAGGTGATGGAGTTAGATTCTGACTTAAAAAAAAAAAAGACAGAATCTCGCTCTGTTGCCCAGGCTGGAGTGGTGTGATCATAGCTCATTACAGCTTTGAACTTCTGGGCTCAAGGGATCCTCCCATCTCTGCCGAGTAGGTGGGACTCAGTGGACTCAGTGCCACCATGCCTGGCTAATTTTTTTTTTTTTTGGTAGAGACAGTTCTCCCTGTGAGGCCTAGGTTGGCCTCAAACTCCTGACCTCAAGCAATCCTCCCTCCTCAACCTTCAGAGTAGTCAGGATGATAGGCATGAGCACAAGCCACTGAGTTGGGCCTAGTAACTTTTAAATAAAGAGTTGATTTACCAAGGTGTGGGGGAAACCGCCAAGGCGTGTACAGCACCCTGGGTTAGCAACACCCAGGGGGGAGCTGTTACTGCCCTCCTTGGCCCTGGAGAGAGCTGTGTGGAGCTGCCGCCTGCAGCCTGGCACATAACTGGTGAGGCTTGGAAGGAGGGCACATGGGATAGACGTCAGCTGACCCTGATGGAAGCCAGAGGAGAAGGAAGCCTGTTGGTGCAGGTGCAACGGAAGTCTGAAAAGGGGAGCCTGTGAAGCAGGGCGCTGTGAAGGGCGTGGCATCCTGGAAGACCAAGGAGCTCATGGAGAGGGGGCTGGGAAGGTGCCAGCGACTGGGTCCAAATGGACATCATAGGTGGCCTTGGACAGCGAGAGCTCAGTGGAATGGGGTCCAAGAGCACAGTTAGCATGGACAGACCAGTAGGTGACAAAGTGGAGAGCCCTGCAGAGACAGCCTGTTCTAGGAGGTTCCAGCTTTCATCCTCACCACCTCCTAAACCAGTAGGCAATGTTCCCCCCTTCCTTTTTTTTCAGGTAGGGGTCTTCCTCTGAGCCCAGGCTGGCGTGCAGTTGCACGATCATGGTTCACTACTGCAGCCTCAACCTCCTGGGCTCAGATGATCCTTCTGTCTCAGCCTCCCGAGCAGTTGGGACTACAGGCACACACCACCACACCCCGTTAATTTTTTGATTTTTTTGTAGAGATAAGGTCTCACTATGTTGTCCAGGCTGATCTCAAATTCCTGGGCTCAAGAGATACTCCCGCCTAAGCCTCCCAAAATTCTGGGATTACAGGCATGAGCCACTGCACCTGGCCAGTTCTCCCTATTTTGCAGACAAGATAACTGCGCCTTGGCGAAGCGTCACACCTTGCCCAGGTTATGAGTGGGATGGAACTCAGGTTGTCCTGATCCCAATTAGGCAGTGGGGTCAGAGAAAGGAACAAAGTCAGACGGAATCAGAGGGGGGAACTTGCGGCTGGGATCCAGGAGGGGGTGGAGTGAGAGGGTGGAAGGAAGCAGGGAGCTGGGGGAAGGGGCGACCAGATCGTTGGATTACTGGGCGGCTTTGAGCCCCTGTAGCTCCCTGCCCCTTTCTCTGGGTAACTGTATCTTTCCTCCCGGTCACCCCAGGATGGTGGTTGGTGGCAGGTTCAGGGGGAAGAGTGGAAAATGTCCCTGGGGGTGGGTGGCCCGCGCGGGGCGTCGATCCTGCTCTCGAACGACACGATGTGGCCCCAGCCGCAGGGAGCAGCTCCTCCCCGCTAGCCTGGAAGCCTCCTGCCC